AGAGGCACAGTCTGACTAATCAGGAAACTGGAAAAAAATAGCTGTAGCTGGAGTATGAGATTAGCAGACCCTCAGGGTCACCTGAAGAGCTCAGAGCCCTTGTATTCACCATCAAAATCCAATTTTCAGTGCCTGGGCAGTGGTTAAATGTGGCACCCAAGACACCAGCAGCATGTAGTTGAGTTTTGGGTTCTTATCCAACCACCAGGAAGTATTTGCTAAGGAATAAATTGTGACATTACTGGGGGCAAGGGACACTGTCCCCTGTCCCCTGGTGCTGGGTCAGCACTGCCCTGTGATGGGACACAGCAACAGCCTGGGCTGTGACCTTTGGGCCCTGCAGGGAAAATGCTGCTGCTCCTGAAAGAATTCCTGAGGAATGACCTTCAGGAGCCTGGGATGGGGATATGAGAGTGACAATTGCTGAGCTGCTGGGCTGCAGGAGCCTCTCTGGGGTGCTGCAGGTCCCGTGGCTGTGGGGCAGAGGATGGGCTCAGGGGGCAGAGCAGCCAAGGCTCTGCTCATCTCCAGGCACTGGGGTCTGCCCAGGCTGGTGCAATCCCTGTGGAGCCAGCTGGGAACAGCCCTACTTTGGATCCAGAAAAATTTGGATCCAGATTTTCATTGTGGAAATGGTTTGGTTCTTACACCCGAATCTGTCTGTCCAGAATACAACTGCAGAATTTTCCTTTACTGCAACCTGTGCATGAACTGTTGGTTTATGCATCCTTGCAGGGTTATTTTGGTTATTTTGGTAAATATTTGGTTATTTTTTATAAACCCCTGTGCTGTGCAGCCAAATTTGCCAGAGGGAGGGTGCAGAGTGTCCTGGCTGAGCTGGCTCACAAAAAGCAGATCACAGATGGCAGCTGGAGGTTCTGCCATGCCCACCAGGAGCTCCTGAGCAGCTGGGATCGGGTCCCTGTGCACAGAACACAGCTCCCAATGCCGTGTCTGTGGCAGAGATCCCACCAGGAGCTGCTCCCTGCCAGCCCAGGCACTGGGGATACTGGGGGTACTGGGGATACTGGGGATGCTGGGGATGCTGGGGATGCTGGGGATATTGGGGATGCTGGGGATACTGGGGATACTGGGGATATTGGGGATACTGGGGATACTGGGGATGCTGGGGATGCTGGGGATACTGGGGATGCTGGGGATGCTGGGGATCTGGGGATACTGGGGATACTGGGGATACTGGGGATGCTGGGGGTACTGGGGATACTGGGGGTGCTGGGGATGCTGGGGGTACTGGGGATACTGGGGGTGCTGGGGATGCTGGGGATACTGGGGATGCTGGGGGTGCTGGGGATACTGGGGGTACTGGGGATACTGGGGATGCTGGGGGTACTGGGGATACTGGGGGTGCTGGGGATGCTGGGGGTACTGGGGATACTGGGGGTGCTGGGGATGCTGGGGATACTGGGGATACTGGGGATGCTGGGGATGCTGGGGATGCTGGGGATATTGGGGATACTGGGGATGCTGGGGGTACTGGGGATGCTGGGGATAATGGGGATACTGGGGATACTGGGGGTACTGGGGATATTGGGGATACTGGGGATGCTGGGGATACTGGGGATGCTGGGGATGCTGGGGATACTGGGGATACTGGGGAAGCTGGGGATGCTGGGGATACTGGGGATGCTGGGGGTACTGGGGATGCTGGGGATGCTGGAGCAGCGCCAGCCCCACCGTGGGGCTGTGGGCAGCCTTGCCAGGAACCACCACCCTGACTGTGCCAGACTGCTCCTGTGCTCTGGTGCTGTCAGGGATGCCCCTGTTTGACAGCAAATGTCCACAGTTTATTTCCTGGGTGCTCCTGACTGATCACAGCTGGCAGAATTTAACTGAAGAAAGGAGAATTTAAAGTGTAAATGGGCAGGAAAAACCAGAAGCTTTGAAGTATGTAATCCAGCACGTGGGTTTTCCTAGCAATCCTTTTTTGGTTTGTTTAAGGGGAAGTAGAGGGATAGATGTAGATGTTACAGCAGTTCCCAGGACATTTTTCAAAGTGAGGTGCTCTAAGTGAGATTCTGCTGCTGATAATGATTCATCCAAGAGGATGGAAATGATTCTTCAGTTCTTTGTGGATCCTTAGGTAAGTCAGTTGAAGGACAGCCCTGTTCTCCACAGCTAGCCCAAACTGAGTCAATTACAGAAAGGAGTTTTATCAGTAGTTAAATTCAGTAATAGCTCCAGTAACATTATCCATGGTGGTAGCTAATTGAAGATTGTGCCAATGCTGCCTGTTTTGTTTTCTGAATCATTTCAGTCAGCAGCACCCCCTCTCTGCTGAACCCATTTGCTTCAGCCTGAATTTTGTGATCTCTCAGAGATGCTGAAGAATTACTCCATTGTTTTTAAAGTGTCTCAGACAGAGTATTTGACTTTCAGCTCTAGAAGTTACATAGACTGGGGAGTAAGTGAGTGAGGGAATAAAGACTCTGCAGACAGATTTTGGGGATAATCTCAGCTCTGTTTTCAGGCTTGTGCCTGGCTGTGCAGGACCTTGTTGCTCTCTGCTCTGGGGCTGTGTTTCACTCCTGAAACTTCAGCTGGAGTGGAGTGACTTTGGTGTGGCAGATGGCACAGCAGAGTTTTCTGATCCATCACTGTTTCTTGGCTGGTGTCCTTATGGCAGCTGTGTCTGCTTAGGGAGCTCAGAAATGCCTGACAATAATTACCTTTAATTTCTGCAGGCCTCGTTGTGGTGATTTGGGGTCTGTGTTTGTTATTTTCTGTTTGTTCCCTGGTACCTTTCTGCCTTCATTGCACTTCTGGTACAACTCTTCAGTGGAAGGTTTTGGGGAATTTTTCTTTTCTTTTCTTTTTTTTTTTTTTTTTTTTTTACAGAGAGCCCTGGATAATTTTTTTTCTCTTGTCATTTCTCTGAACATTTTGCTAAAGATCTGAATTTTCTTCCATTCCCTATTTACCTCCTTATAAATAGTTTCTTTACTGTTTTACATATTTAATTAAATTTCATGGCTTCCAATCTATATCAAGAACCTATGTAAACACTGACCCTGATGAAAACACTGGAATATTGGTTTATCAGTGCATCTCTGGGTACATACAAATGATAAAATGCTGGAAGAGAAAACTCCATGTTCCAACACTATATTTTTGTAACCATTAAAATTTATGTGAATTCTTTGCAAATGGATTAAAAATAGAAAGTGAAAAGGTGCCTGGAAATCTTGAAAACAGTCAATTCCTCAGAACTGTGATGATGCTTAGGTTTTTTTTTTACTTTCTGAAAATAAAATAAAACTCACTCAAAGAGCAATCCCACTTCGTTTCCCTAACAAAAAAAAAAGTGCAAAAGTTTGCAGACTACTTCATCTTCTCCAGAAAGCGTGTGGAGAGTTTTATCATTGAAGATGTATTCTGTGATGGATTAAGTGAGAGTGTCTGAGATAAAAACAGGAGTTTAAACATCAGGATTTTGTATCTGTGTGATGAAAAACCTGTAGCATTTGTAAAAGAACTTTAAAGGGCGTTGAGAAAAATGTACAGCGTAGTGGTGTTTTGTGTGAAGTGAGGGCTACATTAAATAACCCAAAAGACAAAAATATTGGTGATGATCAGAATATCTTTGCTGAACCTGACCCAATTGCTGTATCCATGTGTGATGAAAGGTGTCCCTCTCCATGCAGTCCTGGATCGCTTCCTTTGTTAAACCTTTCTGAAATAATCAGAACTTTGTGCAGCCCTTCAGAGCAGCAGCAGAGCTAATCTGAATGCCAGATTCTTAGCAGCATTTAAAAGGGTGTTGTCATTTATGGATAGGGTGTGGAAATTATTAGTTCCCTTTAATCAGTATCTGAATCTCTCAGTAAGCAATGCTTTCCAGAAGCAGATTATTTAATTCTTGTTGGATGTATTTTAGTGGGTTGCTAGAACAGGCACCACCACCAAAAAAAATAATGGTTTTTAATAAATGCAATCAGTGATTGTGTGGAACTTAGTAGCAAATAATAAAAGCAAGTCCTGCTGTGCTGAAGGGAAGAATAAACCCATTTAATCCATAACTGAGTGAATAAACAGTTGTACCTGTAGAGATATTTTTGGCTCTGTGCCTGTATCTCTTGGATTTTCCTGCAAGAACCTCAGATTATTTTCAATCTCATCTTGCCCAGAATAAAAGTAATTTGCTACTGTCTGGAAGAAAATCTGATTCTTTATTTAGTGACCAGGCCAAAATGATAAAACTTAAAAACTTCACACTTAAGAAAAAAAGATATTGGGAATCTAAATAACAATAATAATAATAAAATATAATTATTGTAAGCCTGATGTTACTCTGCTTACTCTCTTTTACTACTGGAAATTAAATGTGTTTTAGTAATTTGAAAATCTTCTACCAATACCTCCTTGAATTCTGGGAATTTCTGCTGGTCTTAATGGTCTCTTAAAAGTGGGATTGATTCTGTAATTATCCAAATAGTGTTTTTCTACACATTTCCAATGTAATGTTTTCATGTTACAATAATATTAATCCAAACCAGCAAATTCCCAAAAGGACAAAAAATATTTGGATGCTTAATAGAACAATGAATGCTGTAGTATTACATGTTAATTTGCTTTGAACTCTTGAAATTAAGGAATCCTGTATCTTACTCTGCATGTGGAAATTTTGTTGCAGCTAAATAAGTCAAGCAGAAAGAGATCAAAGTGACAAGGTGATCAAAGTGACGGGAAATTATATTTAAAAGTATAATCAAAAGGGATACCATTAAATAAATATTTCTTTGTGCTCTACATGTTAAAAAGAAAAATAAACATGAAAGATTTTTTTTTTTAAAATTCTTAGAATGGTGAAGTGGCTTGACTTTCAAACAAAGATGGTGTTCAGGGATAGCATTACTTAACTGGACTGAGAATGACCATTGAATTTATGGGACTTTTTCTTACAGAAAATGAATGTTCAGTTCATACCTGCAGTGCCACATTGTACAATCTGACACTGCATATTGTTCATTTAAATTTTTCAGGTCTGACAGCTGCTGCCATGGCAGAGGCTATGAAGCTACAGAAAATGAAACTTATGGCCATGAACAGCCTGCATGGAAGTGGGAGTCAAAATGGAACCGAGTCAGAAAATGAAGAGCTCAATTCTAATGCAGGTAAGGGATGCTGAGCTGCCCTGAGCTGCCCTGGAGCTCTCAGCACCTGGGTCTCAAATTCTTGGGCTCTTGTATTTTGTAAGCTTTGCCCCACCAGTGCTAAATCAAAATTACTGCTCTCACTCCTCCATATTCCTCCAGTTTTCCCAAGAGCTCACTTCTGTAATTGTTTGAAAAATCCTGGTGAAGGATCATCATCACTAGGGCTGGATACAGACCTTGTAAAGGGCCCCCTAAATATACCTGGAGTAACAGAAGATTTCTCCATTGGCATTGTCACTGTCTGGAGTTTTCCAGTAAAGATGGAAGGTTTCCAAAGGGCCAGGCCAGGGAACTCCTGAGTTCCACAGGTCATTGGAGAAGGGCAAGGCAGGGAATCCTCCATCACCAATTTATGGCTTTTGTGCATTTTGTTCTTTCCTTGGATGGGTGTTGCAGAGCCCAGCTGTGCAGGGGGTTTGTGATAATCCTTGCCTGGGGCTGGAGTCACCTTGGCCAGGAGGCCCTGGCATGGAACACGTTCATGTGCTGCACAAACATTAATGTAGGTTTGAGCTGAGCTCCCCAAACTCCATAAACATTGATACAGGTTTGAGCTGAGCTCCCCAAGCACCATAAACATTAATACAGGTTTGAGATAAGCTCCCCAAACTCCATAAACATTAATACAGGTTTGAGTTAAGCTTCCCCTGTCCCAGCTCCCCAGGAACAGGGTTCAAAGGTGAAGTCAAAGCAGATCCTTTGAAGAGGAAATCTTTGTTTATTCTGACCTCCTTCCAGGTGAATAGAGGAGATTTTTACTTGGTCAGTGTAGGGAACCTGGAACGAGACGGATCCATTTTGTCTCTGGTACCTGTCACAATAGGGGCAGCTTCCCTTGGCCTCACTTCTTACTGCATCCTGCACCCCTGGCCCTTGGGGAGCAGATTTTGTTGGTTTCCATTGCCAGTTGAAGAGGAGGAGAGGCTCAGAGTGATGCCCATGGCGTCCCCCTCTCCCTTTGGCATTCCCTGCTGCGCTGCATGTGCATCCTCCCAGCTAAATGGTAATTTATTAGACCAGTAAAGCAGCAGCTGGGAGGTCTTAGACTCATTTTCTAAAGGAATAACTTTGAATTCATGACAAATTATGCACAAAGCAGTCTCTCCAAGAGTGGTATTGCCTTTTGCTAATTTTGTGTACTCATCTGTATTTGAAGAAATCTGGCTTCTAACTCGTGCATTAAACCTTTCCCCAGCTTCCTGTTCTGTGGGATGTGTATTTCTTATTCACCTCTCAGACCCTAATCAATTAGTGCACATTGAATTCAGAAAAAAAAGCACTGAAAAATCCTATTTAATGGTTGTAACTAAAATAGTTTGCATAAAGTTCAGAATGAATCCTGAAAGTTCGCTGGATGCCAAGAAAAAGGACTGAAGATGGAATTACTGTAGAAAAGTAAGGAAGCTTCATACAGAAAAGATGTAGGGTTGGCATGGGGGTTTTAAAAGCTGCGGTACAAAAGTTTAATATTCAAATTAATTCAAGCTCATAGTTTTGTGTGTTACCTGGTAGGGCAAAATTTGTGTACCTCATGTGGGGAAAATCTCCAATAATGTGATTATTTTAGGTACCACATTTTAGGTACCACATTTTAGGAACAAGGAGTTTTTTAGGGACTGTCACATCAGCCTTTGGACAGTGCATCAAGGGCGTGCACTTTACAAGGGAGTTCTCTGTGGTTTAGCAATTCAATGAGTTCCACAACCAGCTCAATGCCAATTTAAATATTTGGAAAAGCTCCCACTGACTTTAGTTACAGTGGGACCGAAGAATAAGAGTGTGGTGGCAGTTCCATACAGATCTTTTCTCAGTTCTTTCCCCTTTTCATTGCCTGGTGCAGCAAAATTGCCACAAGAAAATTTTCTGGCTCCAGTGCCAGTGTTGCTTGCAGAGCAATAGGTCCTTATCAGAAAGAACTAGTATAAATCCTATTAAAAATCACAATTTCCCCTTTTTCCAATATGTGTAACCTGAGTTCTGGGATAATTTTTTTAATGAATGGATTCCTCCTTTATTGCTGGGTCACATTACAAAGATTTACATTGAGCAGGATGTGTCAAAATGGAAAACCACCATGAATGGAGGGAAAAAGGTGCATTTCACCAAATAAAAGAACTGAACAATTATCAAACAATCACTACAGAAAACTCCTTGGTGTGGCATGAAGAGAGTGGGAATTTTGTTTAGAAGTTAATACACAGGTTGTAACTTTGATCTGCTGTGAAGGGAACACCAGGATAATTCTGTGTGCATGAAACCTTCACCAACTGTTTGCTTTGCTCTAGACTTACAGGATAAATGACTATTAAAAATAAAATGGGATGTGAAATGAGGAAGAAAATTGAATTTTGATTTTTTTTTTACTAAGAAGAGGTAGAAAGGAACAGAGCAAAGGAGTCAGAAGCCTCATAAGTGAGAAAAACATTTTATTTTAGGAGAGAGACCTACAGTTTCTTTGATTTGAGGTTGTGTTTAATAGCTTCTGTAATGGCTGCAACATGACTCTGCATCTAGATTTCAGCATGAATAACAACCTGTTCGTGTTTCATTTAGCTCCAAATGAGAAATTCTGTGTTTTATTGTTTTAGGAAATTAGTCTGTGTACTATTGCTCCTGGAACTTTCTAATTAATCACTAAAGGTTATGGCTGTGGAGAGTTTGTGGGAAATAGATGTCTGAATGATTATAATTGTAGCTGTCAAATCAGAAATATGATTGTACAGAGCCGAGGACCTTTCGCTTCCTTTGATGTTTTTTTTTCTTTTTACAGTAACAAAGACTCAAAGAGTTGCAATTTTATTTAAAACAATTAAGTTGGGTTTTTACCTCAGTGTTACACATTGACTTCCTACAATGCCACTAAATATTTCACTTTTGGATATGTGCCTTCCTGCTCGTCCCACAGTCTGATAGATGAGTGGAATACTCTCTTTTTGCTGTTGTTTATTTTAAATTAAAAATGTAATTGAGCAGTATTAAGTCCTAAAGCTTTATTGCCAGATTTTTTTGCAAGTGTGTCATTATATACAGGCCATTAGTACAATAAAAAAAAGTGTTGAGGATGTCTTGGCATATTCATCTCAATCCCCATCTGTATCTGGTGAAGTATGAAATAATTTTGGGTTTGCTTCTTACTGATGCCTGGCCTGTCACTTCTACAGTTTCTTCCTCTGTGCATCATTATGATGATGGAAGCTTCTAAGAATTCTCTGTCTGAAGCCAGAATTTGTCCTGTCAGTTTAAAATCTGAACTCTTAACTCAATTTAACACGACCAGTGACTAATTCCTCAGATATTATATTGCTCTCTAGCAAATTGCAGGTGTGGAATTGAACCTTGCAAATGTGTCTAAGGGACAGGGGGTAAATGTGCCACTCCTTTGCCTGTTTCTACTCCAGCTGGTTGCTTTTTGCCATCAGGTCCTACCTACCTCCTTTTCATGATGTCACCATAACCTCAGTACTGGTGGAGTTTGGTACTGGGATATTCTAAATAACTTATTAAAAATAAATGCTGCAAGAGTTAATACTGAAAATATAGGGGGGAAAATTCCCCCAAAAGTTTAATTTGAAGATTTTTTTTTTAATTGAAGCAATGCTTTAGTTCACAGTGCTGTGAAGAATGCTGTTATACATTGGAACATTGATGTCCTCCTTCCACTCTCTCTGCAGAAGAGAAAGAGATTTTTTTGCACCTTCCTACTCATCATATGAAGTGTTGAAGCAAAACTTCTCTGGCAGTTGAAAATCTCCTCTTTAATCTGGCACTGGAGCCTCTCTGGCCCCACAGTCCAGCTGACCTGGGCTGGCTCTGGCTCCTCCTTGGGGTTTAGTGTCCCTCTCCATCCTCGGGTGGGATCAGGGCAGGAAGGCTGAATTTGGAGAACAAGGTGGTTTGGGACAAGGGAGCCTGGATCTGGGAGAAATCCATCCCTCTGGAATCTCACATTCCCAGTGACCATGAGTCTTTTGTGATCTGTTCCTCCTCCTTTGGCTCCTCCAGGTGAGTCCTTGGAGAGGACACTTTTTGCTGGTGGCACCTGAGGGTTGCCAGGAGTGGTTGTGGCTTTTCTGCTCCTCTTTGGAAGTGAGGAAGGGCTGGAGTGTGCACCTGGAGCTGCCTCCTGCTCACTCCCAGCCCAGCCACACAGCCAGATCTGTTGTTCTGTAGAAATGAGATAAATAGAGCAAAAGCTTCCTGGTTGCTCAGAGGCGTTGAGGAAGATGAGCTCCTTCATCATCGTGCAGAGCTGAAATCAGGTGAAGTGTGTTCTGGAAATCAACATGCCATTGCTTAGGGGGATTTGGAACTTAGCTGGAATCTGAGCTTTTCTTTCTGGTGGCATGGCAGCAGGTGATGTGTACAGTGTGAGATGGGGTAGGTGGTCAAACAGAGACTGGGGGATGTCACCTGCATGTCCCTGAAACTGCCTGAGCCAGGAGGGATCAGAGCATGGCACTCGTGACAGGAGCTGTGTGTGCAGAGCCTCAGAGCAGAGAGCAAAGCAGGTATTTCCTTCTGGTGGCTTTTGGAGGTAGCATGCATGATTTAAGAAATGTGTTTTGCTTTCCCAGGAGAGATATCAAACAGTACTAAGTGTTTCAGTGGTATTTCCTTAGGAAGTCAAAATGTTATTCTGTATGTAGAGGCTTGTTGCTTAATTTCCAGACAAGGAGCTAAGTTAGGCAGAAAAGAAAGGAAAAACACCCGAGCTTTTGGCATATGAGGATCAGAGAAAAAAGCTCTCTCATAGAAAAAAAAAAGTGTTATCTTTTTATCCTTCTTTCCCTTCAGTACCTGCCATGCAGTTTTCTCACAAATGCAAACATCCTTCACAATCTGTTTAAAAAACCACAAATACATCACTCGGAGGAATATTTAAGGAACCATCAGGAGGGAAAAAACTCATTGGTTTAATGGAATGCTGTCAAGGAAAATCAGCATCACAAACGACACAG